TAATTTTCTGATCTCATTCATAGTTCAATCTGCAAATGACTGCTGGCATGAAGGAGCGATTGGTGTGCTGTGGCATGGGGCAGAAATTCCTCAGATGAGGTGCTAGTGTCAGGGATGAGAGGAGGGAAAATATAACAGCACATAATCTATTTAGCAACCCTACTTCTCTCTCTTCTTCCTTATCCAAGGACCTGCAGCACAAACTCCCAATAAAGGTGAGGCACTGAAGAGCTACCAGCTGGACTGTGTGGGACAGCACTGCACCTGGCTTTCCATGCTTCACTGTTTGGGAACTGCTGACATGAAGAATTAAATGAAAAATGCCTTCACTAAACAACAACAAAAAAAAAAAACCCTGATATGGCACATTCCAATAGCTGAACAGTCTCACATCTTGATTATAAATCATTGCCTATGATGATGTTATTTCATTAACAAGAACTTTCAATTTAATAGCCCAAAGTCACTTTCAGAAAGATTTCTGATATTTTTAGCATTCTGTTTTAAGATTTATTAAGTGAGTTACTCTGCCTAGTTCAACTTAGTTAGCTCACTCAGCCTCCACATTTTATCTTGGCTTCTCAAGGAAGCAAGGCTTATATAATTAGGAGGTCTGTCTTTTACTTAATTTATGAACCCACTGCTCTGTTTCAACTAAATTGGACAGAGAAGAAGATGTTTCAAACATACTAAGTTACCAAACATTTCAAGAAACTGGTGAGTCAGCTGAGAGAAGGAACCTATTAGAGCCCCAGCTGAAGGAAAGGCTGGGAAGTCGTTACCTATTGTATTTGGTAGCACCAGCTGGCTAATGAATACATATTCATTAATCATGAATATATAAATAGCTATGGAAACAATAAGGCTGAATAAAGAGGTAGACAAGATTTGGGGAGAGCAGGAGGCAACAGGGGGGCATACCTGGGTCCTCAATATATTGCAACTCAATATACTGCTGGAAGAAGGTTTTATAGACACGGGGAGAAGTTAAGAGGATACTAGGAAGGGGCATGGGAATAAAAGACCTTTGCTGTGAGGAAACTGGTGGGGAGGAAGTCACTCTTAATTGGTTCTACTTCTCACAGAACAACTTATTAAAATGTCACTTGATCCCAAATGCCAGTGAAATACTATTTTTACATTGCCCATTGAACTCAAGAAGAGTAAAAAAAAGTTAACAGGAAATCTCTAGTATTGTGTTTTTAATCTATGTGAATGTTAGTACAGGATGCAGCACCAACATCAGCTGAGTGCTTTTCACAATCAGAATCCATTACTTACAAAAGTATATGACTATTCATATAAGCAGCTGCATAAACATAGCTGAAAGCAAGGTCCTGTAAACTGATAGTACATTAACCAAGCAAGAACAAAATGGAGACGTGATTACTAAATGGCAACTCTCCCTACATTGAAGCATCTCTGAACAAATTCCAGTCTCCTTTTTCAAACCTTTTTCCACAATGTACATTCAGAATATCACCACTGAAACTCAAAGAGAGCAGTTCCTTTGTTTAAATAGATTCTGAACAATCTGTGAAGGAGTGCCGCCCATCAGTCTAAGCAAATTCTAACCGTGTGCAAAACACTACGTTCAGACTGTTGGAAATTATGTTACGCATGCTCCTCTACATACGCACCAACACCAGCCCTACCAAGTGGTCACCAGCGATACCTGGCAAAAATTCTGCCAGTGGACTGTTTTTGACAGTATCAAAGCGAGGGTCAGTCTGGCCTGCTAATCTTAGAACTGGGCGTGATTCCAGGACTTCCAGGAGTTGGCCAGTGCTTATGCTGTGTTACATAACCTCCTAACCGGCAACAGTAACGCAGGTGCAGGTTATTTCCATGGACCGAGCTAGTTCCAATTCACTGTTATTCTTCCCTCCTTAAATTTTTCCAGCAGTGCTGTTATTCTAGGAAAGAACCTTCAGGAGGAGAGCTTATATATCACTGCACGCAATATTTCACTTAAACAGAGGTAGCCCAATTAATTATAAAGATATTTTAAAAGTACATAGACAACAAATGCCATTTCATTCAAGATCACCATCCAAGCTCTATTTATTTTTTTAGAGTTAAATTAAGGCTCTGATTCTAGTAACACATCACTGAGTAAAGGTATGCACATGCTTAACACATCCCAAATCATAGCTAAAAATATAGCTCCGTGAACAATTCTCTCAGCAGCATCGCTAACTTATGCGGCCACTGATTCGCTCATTCCCACTCTGTGCCGTTCCCTCAGGTTATCTCATCACAACTCTGTGCCTGCACAGAGAACCAGACTGGGTAACTGATTCAGGTTAAAGTTACTTTAATGACAGAAAGGCCAGGGAGGACAGAGGAGGACTATTTTAAACTCAGATCAGTTTCTCAATCTAGGTCACCCTGTGGCTGCACAAGCAGCTGCACGAGCACAACTAAGAGGGACCACAGGGGCTGAAATGAGTGGCTGTGCAAGAGAAGTGCTTACACTGGCACTGCTAAAAAAAGAAATACTTATCAAACCATGGCTTCAGGCAAAGTGTCATTGCCTAGGCAGGTGAATTCAAAGAATATGAAGACATTCTGCTCCTAGTGATTCTCAGTTCCCTTTGGCACCCTTGAAAACCTCAACCTAAACATTCACATCTAACAGCTTCTTGTTTCGGGGTACAGGAAGCAGTTCATATTACTTTTTAACCTGTTCTTGAATAAAACTAATTATCGCTTTTACAAACTGTTGGCCGCTTTGGTATCCCCATCGACAGTAAATAAGCAGGTTTACAAATTCAAAATGTTAGCGAAAAGGTCAGTTTCCAAGACAGGAATCTTGTAACTGAGAGATCTTAAGGAATTAAAAAGCTAAGTGCGATATTTAGTCCAGACAGTCTGATTCCACACATACATCTGCACTGCAAACTGGAACACTCTGTACAGTTAGCCAAGTCAGCTGTAAATGAGCTACACTGGTAATTGTTTCACAGTGACAGCAGACTCCACAAGGACTGATTTAATTGGTTGACTCCTTCCAGTAAGCTCTTTTTTAATGCTAACCCAAAGCAATTCCATATTCCACTAGAGTCTGCACTGTAGACGTATCATTAGGTGGGTTCTTCCCATGCTACCCCTCACCGAATTACAAAAACCAGTCTAATTCATCTAAGGGAAAGTGGTTAAAAATACCACTTCTCGTAGCTCTAAGAGCAAATTCATAAAAAGTAATGCTCATGTTTACTTGTAAACTTCCATACAGAGTCTGATTAACGGTCCACCTTCTTGACCTAGAAGCAACTATACAGTGGAGTAAAACACCAACCTACAACACAAACAGGAAGTGACATGTTTAAAACTCTTAAAGGTAGATATGTCCACTAAAAATGCGGATTTAACATGGGTGACCATGCAGACATGCTGTACCTACTGTTTTGGAGGGGGTAAGGGACTAGGGTATTCGCCGTGATTCACTTTAGAAAATTATTTACAGCCGTTTGCACCTGGAATTTGAAGTATGAATGGAGAAGCAACAATACATGTTACCTGTGGATGTATGCAACATTACCTTCTTAAAAGACATCTTTCATGTCCAAATTGCATTTTCTTTAAGATTCTAAATTAATGTTTCTTCCATTCAAATCTAATCTTCGTCTGAGTACAACAAATGCTGTAACACAAATGCAAATCTGTACTACTACCCTGCCCAGTGACAACAGTTAATTAGAAGTTTGGGTTCTGGATATCCCTGAGGACATTAATGAATATCGTGCTGCTTGGCAGAATAAACAAAACCTAATCAAGCTATAATTGTCCCCAAATTTAGAGGCAGTGGGCTGAAAAATGAAAAATGACAGATGTGCATGATTACTGCTGAGCGTTTCGTTATTCTCTCCAAATGACTGTTTAATCTCAGATTCATTTTTTCCTGTTTTCCTGCCTATTATAGCACAACTTCAGTCTGCAGTGGCCGAAGGAAGTCAGGTACGTAGTTACGTGGCCTTTCTAAATACATAATTAAAATATTAAGCTTGATTGTGGTGCACTTTCATCACCAAAATGTGAGGCAATTAACAAGGAAAAAACAATATATTAAAAGGAATAAAAGCGCAATAATTTTTAAATTTTCAAATCACTGTCTAAAAGCTATTGGTAGCAGGAAATAAAAGCCACTGTAGCTAAATAGCATTTAACAAATGGAAGTTATGAGAACATAACATTTGTCCATGTATTTGCATAAAGAATACTCTCTCTTTACACAGAGGAATGTAAGCACAAATACATATCCTGTTACAGAAACAGTTTACATCACTGGATAAAGAAACTGTATATTCCAGCAACACGATGAAAGAACTAAAAATCATTGACGTGGCTGCATGTGTTCGTGTTAGTGCAATAATCGGATCCACCTATCAACTGTTCTTACAGTTGCAGACCTAAAATCAAGAGAAGGTAAAATGCTAACAGTGCATTACTGTTTTACAAAAAGGGTATTACACCTGACGTTAACTTCAAAAGAGATATGTTTATCAAATCAAAATAAGCTTTCACAGACACTCAGACTCTTAAAACATTCTTAACTTCAGTGTTTTTGTTCAATCTCCTGATTATTAACAACTTCCACATCTCCCCATTTAACAAGAAAGACGAAAATTTAGTTTTTCCTTTAATGTCTTAAAAGGCACTAAAATTCAACAGCATGTAAAGAGACTACATTTTCATGGTCACGTTTTCCATTGATTCCTTACTAAGCACACTTAGGCTGCCCACAGTATTTATCCTAAATGTCATGCAGATGTAGCCACTGAAAGATAGACTTCTAAGATTTCACATTTCCAAATTTAAAGTATGCCTGAATAATGGCGTAAGTGGTCTAATCCTTACCTTTTCCAGATTCCAACAAGACAGAATAAACATGCTGACGAGCAGGGCGGTAGATGAGTGCCTGACCAGGAATCTCTGTATCACATTCGTCTTCCAAAGAGTTGCTGCACTCAATCTCTCCATTACTCAGGATATTGAAGATTGCGTAATTTTCAGATTGGATGTGCTGTTCTTTAGCTAACTTCAAAGAAGTAAAAAGCTGTTGATCTCCAAAATTAAGAGTGAACAAAAAGTAACACAATTACTTCACTGTTAGAGGAAATAGTACCTCCTCTATCAGTGAAAATATTGAGGGAATAGTCAGGGAGGAGGAAACAAGTGCTTTTTCCAAAAATAGGAGTCTAGAATATCTTCAGACACCTATCTTTTTATGGATGGGAATTCTCAGGAAACCCATCATGACCTTTCTCCCATTCTCTCCTTGAACTCTTACATCTGTTCAGTGATGACACCTTTTCTGAGAATAAGAATGCTTACTATGAATTTCAAAGTCAGTCATAGAAAAATGAGCTACCCTCCTTTAGTCACATGAAAACTTATCTTCCCTCCTTTAAAAAGCGTTCACACACATTTTCTTGTTTTAAACATGTGAGCGGAGGCGTGACAAAACCAAAACTTTTCATTTTATTGCCGGATAAACTACACAGGACATCACTATTCCTTTCCTGACACTAGCTGACTTTGTGTAGTTTACGTCACAGTGCAATTAAAATACTCTACCTTCACTACACGTTTGCTTTGCAATAGCTTTTCCCCAAGAACAGAAATATAAGCTGGACTGTTTCTGCTCCACACCCCCAGACCAAAGCTACCAGAATTTTCAAAGAGTTGACTGGAGTCAGTCCCAGTTCCACAGAGGGGACACTAATAAATTCTCCTGGACTCATGACGTATTGTGAGCAAGCACTCAAGCTTCTCTGCTCCGTATTCCCTGTACGTGTCACACTATCTGTATTATTTGGGCTGTGCCATCTACAGAGCTAGCTCAAATTCTTTCATGGGGAATTACTACAACATTGTCCAGAGCCAAATTCACTGCTTCTGCAAAATTCCTAATATCTGCAAGCCTGGGAACTCAGGGATCCATATTTGAAAGCTGCAGTCAATCACTGGGTCATTATGGAACAAAACTAATTCTACTGAAATGTCACGTGAGCGTAACGTGAGAAAACGTCTCATAAGAGCATAAAATTAACAATAGGCTTCGGCATATAGCGTTCATCGACATAGTATTATCTTACAGGAGTGAGTTAATGACTGCTCTGGAAGCAATACTTCAGGATTCCTGATTTACTTGAAATACGTAATCCCCCAAATCCACTTTTGTATACTACAAAAATTAACAGCTCATTAGTTTCAAGCATGACTGGAATGAAGTATGGAACTATTTCAGCCAAACCACTTTCACAGATATTAATTCATTTGAAAGTGCTAGTTTCTCACAATTTACCAATAATCCACACATCCTAGTGCAATAAAAATGATGCTAGTTTCAAAACGATAGCTGTATTCACTGCTGTATCATGAAAAATATTTCTGATTTGCACGTAGAGATAGCTAGAAAGTTATGCTTTACTTTCCCTGAGAGAAACAGCAACATGAGGCAACGTCCTCAAGATTGGAATTGAGCTATAAAGTGTCACTCGTGCATTTTAGATAATGCATAAGGTAAGCAGAATTGGGCATGGGTTTCAAAATATGAGGTGCAGCATAGACATTACAAGTACTTAAACACCTGTAACAGAAAAACAAAAGACACGTTAACACATCTACGAATCAGATGGCAATTTCTTTGGCCAAGGAACTGACTTAATGTATGATTTATGCAGCAACGGTGAGGCCACAGCCTTCACTGAAACTTGTAGACTATAATAAACTATCTAAACTATAATAAAATTATAGTTATTATAGTACTATCTCAGCATGATGCCAGAGAAATGTAACCCTTCAAATGAAAGACAAAAACAAGAAATAACGACTACTTGTCATAAAGACTGTATGGCACGTTCTCTTAAGAGTAAGAATTCTAACACTATTGTCCTGGCCATAATCCAACCTACATAATTACATTCTGCCTAATTTTTCCTTCCTTGCACTCAAATCACAAACAGTATTTTTCAACCCTTTACTAGGATGTAAGGTTTTTGGTCTTTTAATAATGTCTTCCATTTAACTAGTACAGTAAAAAATTATACGTATCTGTGTGTCGTTAATATCAACCCCAAAGACGTCTGCAGTTTTCAAACTATGCTTTTAAATGTTTTACAGTCTTCTCAGAAAGGAAAATGTAAAATACCGGATTACATTAGTGCAATGTAATGAAGAAATAGCAAGACAGTTTTAAAGAAAAACCTCAAGATAACTTAAGACGCAGACAAAAAAGGACTCTCTGAAGCCTCTACGTACCTAACAAAATGGGGATGAATAGATGACTGATACAGGGGCCAAAAGATACTACCGCCTAAGATTTTTTAAATTAAATCTCAGTATATTCTCTCAACTTCCATGAATTTACAAGGCTATACTCTCAATTTAACACTGCTATAAAAACTAACTCGGACACAGCTGGTAGAAATATTAGTCTACACCCTAGAGGCAGGGTTTTCTACTAGCCAGGTAGTCTACCCTTTGGTATCTTGACTACACGGGCCAGGCACCGAGAGGCAGACCGTTAGTAAGCGCTATCTGATCTGAGGGTTCTCAAAGCAAAACAGAAGCTATTACACTGTGCAATACATGCTTAATGTAATTAATTTTCATTAAACAATAAAGTGATCATTGAGCTTTTAAGAAGTGAAGTACCTGAAATATTTCCTTATCTTGACACATGGCAGTTTCTGGCTGAACGGAGAACATTTGGATGTTTGTTACATTGGGAGGAATCCATGGAGACTGCTGCCCAGGCAAAAGATAGGACTGCATTCCTCTGTAGAGTAATGTCTTGTCTGATCCCAAAGGCAGCAACTTTTCCAAGTCTTTCAGGCTGCTGTATGAGCACGGAATTTTTGAGATGTAATTTGCTACTGCTAGAAGTACGTTAGTTCTTCTGCTGTAGCTCTTGTTCTTAGGGGGAGAGATGACTAAACATTTATGCCAAAAGCCTTCCAACAAGCTTTCCGGAACAACATCGTTGCCAAGCAAGCAAGCAAACAGAGGGAGGTGTGTCATACTAAGACCCAATGCACGGCAAAGGTCTTCTCTAGAATACATAACAGTGACCAGTCTGTCCAAACAGAGCTTCTCGATTGAAAAGTAGGGAGATGTATTATAGATGAGGTAGTCACTATCCTGCCCAAGAATTCCCATGCAATTATGCTGCAATCCATAAGCAGCCACCTCAAAGTCCGCCTCTTGCAATGAGCATACTGTTTTTTGACCAAGTGACTTTAGGGCAAAACGTGTAAAAGTAGGCAAAGCAGAAGGAATAACGAACATTTCTCTCCCTGGTTGTTTCCTGTGAGTCTTGATAAACTGAAATATTCTGGCTATTTCCTTGTTATTCTGCAATCTCCGTTTGATCCACTCATCTCTCTTTTTTTCTTCCACCACACCATCGAAGTAGAACACCAACTTGATACCAGCTGCCACAAAAACTTCAATAAAATTCTCTAAATTAGCAAGATACTCCTGCCACTGGCCACCACACACCCAAGATTCTGGTGTGTACCAGTATCTAACACAACTCATGGCATCTACTACGATAACAGGAGGGAAATCAGGATGATTGATGCGGTGATTTTCTGCCATTTCTTTCAGATTTACCACTGTGCATGCATCAGGACAAACCTTTGTCACAAATCCCTGCAAACCTTTAATGCCCATGGCTGATCTCTGAAACTCTCAGCACCCTGAAAGAAGAAAAATAAATACAGCGTTCTAAAATGCAGTATTGAGAAAAGCAATGAAAGTGTATGGTTAAAAAAGCAGCTTGGAAACTGGTCACTTCTTCCGTTTTTGCTAATGTCTTGCTGTGTTATTCAAACTGCCTTTAACCTGTCCTTAATCTGGCCTTTAAAGTGTCTGAACTAATTTTCTTCCCATCAGCAAATGGAACATAAAGCCCACTCACCTTTGCCTCTGGTTTTTGTATGAAGTGAAAATTGTAATTATCGAAAAGGATTTCACAGGCATGACTTTAAAAATTTCAGATGAATAGAGCTGAATATATAAAAAGGGCTCATTACTAGGAAAACAAATGTAGATATAATTAAAAAATAGGAATAGGAATTAATGGCCTGATTTTCATCCTAAATATTTATGTGCACCTTTAATAGAGATTTTATATTCTGTCATCCATCCTGGTTTCACTATAAAATCAACTCTTACATTAAGGAAGTCACTGTCCAATCAACTATGGCAGCAGAAGAGAAAACAACTGAAATCTACGGACTTGAAAAGTACTTTCATCTTTAAATACTTGAACAAAGTTAGCAGAATAAAGACTTAAATGCTTTATGTTGGAAGAGTAAGTTTCTAATGAAAATTTCCATCTCTTAACAGTGAAAAGCCTGTGTATTTTGTGCAATAGATGAATATTTTAAGACTAGACACTTATTTCTAATATTATCCATATAAAATTGATCCCGGGTTATGAGAAGATCCCAACTGTGTTAACTATCAAGGGCGGGACTGCAGGAAAAGTTAAGTTTTCTCCACAAACTGAAATAATTAGAAATATTTTTCCTCTAATTTTTACATATACACAGAAATTCACATAGACAGCCCCTACTACAGCTACTGAGATGTCGCTAACTCTATCTCGTCAGCAAACAACTACCATCATGCAACTTTTATTACGCTCATGCAAACAACGGCTAGGCTGGAGGCAGAAGCGTTTAAAATAACCACCCCAATCCTCACAAGAGCCCCCTAGCCTAGAGGCACACATCACAAGGGGCCAGGAGCAAAGCTCTCTCCTCCCGACCCACTTGGTTAAGGTGCACTAGACACCGGTGCACAGCCCCACGCACACAAACGAGCGTGCCTAACGGGCACGGGAGCACAGCACGCCCGGCTGCCGCCTGGGCGGCCCCTACGTTGGCAGGGGCTCAAGGAGACGCCGA